TGGTCAGTAAACATACCTTACATATTATGGTCAGTAAATGTACCTTACCGTATTACTCTTAACATTAACAATTTCTCCTAGACCGTCGACATCACTTTGTTATGAGGAAACCTGCTACGATTTTTCATTCTCGTAACATCGCAGCGTTTCTGTCAACGGTCTAAGAGAAAAAGGTAATGTTAAGACTAATGTTAAGACTAATTTTGTTTCTGACAACGGGCCCGTGGTTTACGTCTGTGCAGGTGAAGCCTAATTACCTCGCTCCAGGTCGGGACACAGGTTCAGCAGCACTCGCCGTACGTACTCCGAGCTCATCATGTTGTGCAGCTGCACCATGGCCTGCAGAAACCACGACACAACCACGATAAACATCCGTCACCGTGCGTCGTCACGGCGAACAAGTGAACGTTACGCGCCGCGCGGGTCTCAACGGATTGCTGTCGTCGTAAAGCGTTCGGAATCTCGCGCGAGCACGCACGATTTTTTGGGAACCAACAAGCGGAAAATACTTGATGAACGTTTTGTAAAGGTCGCGGTGAAAAGGTTTAAAGGTCAACGCAAAAAGGCAATCACAAGAGACTTCCTGATTCAGAAAGGAAAATTTCGAAAGTCCGAATCTCGACCCTCGAAACTTGCGAAAACTGGACCTCGCAGACTCTGGAAACTCACTGCCCCACCCGCGACCTCGCGACCCTGCTCATGACCTTGCGACTCCGCTCGCGCGACCTTGACCGGAGCTCACCTTGAGCGCGGACAGCGAGAAGTTGTCGGTGATCTCTAGCAGACGCTCAGAATCGTGCGCGGTCAGACACGGCCCGAACGACTCGAGCGAGATGGACGCGAGGTAGTACGCGGGGCTGTCCACGTCGATATCCAGCGGGAATGTGGACGCAGCGGCGGCGGCGGCGGCGGGTCAAGAAACCGAAACAGTCTCAAGCGAGGACGGCAACGACCATTTCAGACGACGACGATGCGCGGCATTGGGTACACTTGCTGATTCGGTCAAGCTCAGCCTGCTTGCACGTGGCTTTACGGGAAGGCACGCCGAAATCTCGACTCACTAATGGAACTTTGTTGCTAAGCACTTTCATTATATATCTTATATTAGAAGTCACATTAGCCTCATTAACTAGTGGTGAAAGAAACCGATTGCAGTAAAATTTAAACTGAATACAAAACTACCTAGCAGGGATGAGTACAAGTTAAATTATTCCAAAAATGTTCATAGTTGACCAACAGTTCACGTGGGCACTCGTATCTGCTTTTAAAAATATAGCCTTGAGATATGCAAATCTGGCGATAGCTTAATCAAGGATATCTAAGGATCAGCTCTGCAGTTGCCAAACGAAAGGTCAGCGTGAGGTCACGCATTGTCTCAAACAGCAAGCTGCGTAGTGTCGGACACTGCCTGTGGGTGGCGCCACTGCTCTGCTCCAGTCGCGCCAGCGGCGTCTGCCCTGAGATTCTGCGTAGAGAATAAACGTGACGTAAACAAGAGAACAGTACATATTCGACGTGGCTACTGCCCGACAACTGACATTTCTAGAGGACGATAATGACGATGACAATGACATTGCTGCTTGATGACGACACTGATAAACGTAAATATGAGAAGTGACCTAATTATAAAGTTGATGAAGCTGTTGTTGATAATAATGACAACAAACCTGATCATGTTGATGATCATGCTGATGATAATAATGAGAACGTTGATAATAATGACAACAACAACAACAACAACAACAACAACAACAACAACAACAACAACAACAACAACAACAACTACAACAACAACTACAACAACAACAACTACAACAACAACTACAACAACAACAACTACAACAACAACTACAACAACAACAACTACAACTACAACAACTACAACAACAACAACAACTACAACAACAACAACAACAACAACAACAACAACAACAACATTCGATGATGATGATGACACTATGATGACAGCAATGACGGCACAAGGTCATCCGCACGTACATGGTAAATCCTCGGCTGATGAGTTCGCGCTCTTGTATCAGCCTCACGCATCGCCTCACTAGCAGCTTCAGGGCTTTTCTCCTCTCCACGAATCCCTCCAGCACCTGCAAGCAATCACACAGGTAACACGACAGGTAACGGCTAATTCGATAATTATCATAACATGG